TGCTCCATGGTTTTTTGAACCTATGGATCCAAGAAATGAGAATCCATGACAACCTCGCACCACCAACCTTGCACCACCAATTCCTAGCTCCGTCGCACAGAAGACACATTGCAAATCTGACCTTTGCCTTCACCAGGAAAATGTTGGCACGAAAGGTGCTCTCCACATCCACAATCCAATACATATGGATGATCAGCTACCTACTCCCCAAGAAACGAGGAGCTCCACAAGCATTAAACTCCTTAAAGGTAACCACTCGAGTATCGAGTCGACTAGCCTCCCAATCACCCCAAATAATCCTAAGTCGCTCATCAATCACATAAATCAGCTCTTCCCTGATCGAGCTAACCAAGCTAAGCATATTCTCTCTCATGAATCTATAAATCTCTATAGCAATGATGTAGTTGACATCCTCCTCACTCAAATATGAATCTCCAACACGGAAGGTCACCATCCTGAATCTGAAAGATAATGGAACTTCATCCAAACAATGCATAATGCAAACCCACACTATTACTACCCACCTACAACTTTTTGGTATTCTCATAACACTCTCTGACCAATGTATGGATCCTGTGCTTTTAGTAGTAAGGGCCCAATACTACCTTTGACACCTATCCATACTCATTCCATGTATTATTCAAAGACTCCCGAGTCACTTCACAACACTCCACTATACTCCTGACACGCATTCATACAACTATCAATATGCATAATGCTATGCTCCCTAGATTCTCTCTCTAGGATCCACCCTTCCCACACCCTTCCAACACCCTTCCATAACACATACTGGAAAAATCACATACTAAGCATACGAGGAATCTCATACAAATCAAGAAATTATAGCATGTGATCTCTATACACACTCTAGCTCTAAAATATAACATGCAAAGAAATTTATGACATATATACAATCATATGGGTATATTGGGAATCACTTACTTCTTAAGCTCTGGCTGACTGTACATACCGTATTCTCTAATTGTTATAAAAAAAAATCCTTTTTTGGAAAATCATTTTCTTACATAACCATTCTCTTTTCAAAACTTATTTAGAAAAATCTCTTAGTCCTTAGTTTGAGTTCAGATACATCGTAACGTCCCAAAAATTACAAAGATTTTTTTCATTTATTATAAAAAGATTAACCACTTAAAAATTTATAACAAAACCATTACATACATTTGTTTAACTAAATACTATACATTATCAGAGTTAAAATCCAAAACTACAAAAACAAAATCGTCAATGTGTGTGTATAGTCTTGCCGAGCTCTGATCACGAAGAAGATAAACCTAGGGTTTTGAAATGAAGAGATTGAGGCTAAAGAATATGATCTTGAATGGGAGTTAAGGTGCTTAAATATGGTAGAAACCCTAAAAATACATGGGATTGGGCTACTACAGCTACCATGATGTGGTCATCCATTGCCATGCCATGACACTTCAATAAACGTGTTCCATAATACTCACACCACGTCGTGGTAATCCATAGGCCATGTCGTGGCACAGGGTTTTCTCCAAAAACCCTATTTTTGATTTCATAAGTCCAAGGCTTATCAATTCAGGAAATAAGTGTTACACCTCTAATGGTCTAACGTCCTGTTTCGATAAGTTTCTTATTTTGGGATTATGAGAAATAGATGGATCAAGTAAAGCATTTAGATTTAAGGGAGTAGGGTTTAGACCCTATTGGATGTTGATAATATTGTTATGCGAACCAAGCGCTTGGTGTGTGTTGGAGTATTAGGGGCAAAACAGGAAAAGTGATGTTTCAAACTTTGTGTATGAAATATGGATTTTTTAGAGGTTTTTAGTCTAAGATACTTAGATAATATTGTAGAACTCTTCAACAACTTTCTGTGGATATAAAGAACGTCGAAAATTGAGTTGGAACGAAGAAGTTACGACCGTTTTAATTTAGGATGATTTTTTGGTTAGTCGTGCACGTTGGGCGTACGGGGAGTACGCTAGGTGTACTAGGGCATCCTTAGTACGATGGGCATACTAGGACTACGTTGGTCATATGCGACCTATTCCTAAACCCTATTTGTGTGGTTTCAGCCCTATTTTAGCTACTTAACCTACCCAAACCCATTCCATTCTCGGCCTCCAACTCTCCAACACATTCTCTTGAAACTTAACCCTAGTTTGAGCCTTATGAGCAAAAAGAAGGTGTTTTTAAGTGCTTTGGAATGTTCTTAATGAACCTTTGAGAAGAAGTAACTCATTAAAGAACCTTTGGTTACATTGGAGCTTGTATATCCAGACCTTGTTCGCCTTGGTCTTTTTTCTGGAGGTATAAAGTTTGAATCTTGATGATGAAATTGTTAGGTCTAGCTAGTTTTGGGTGTTATGAGCTTTTGGTCTCCTTAAGTGCATAAAGTTTAGATCTTGAAAGTTTATGACCTTATTATGGATAAAGTTGGAAACTTTATGCATCTAAACATCATATTGATTCATATCTGAAGGATGGAGACTTGGACTTAATGGATTAAGTTAAAAAAAAAAACACTTTTGGTCCCTTTGAGACTTAAAGACTAGATCTTGTTTGTTGGGACCATTCTAATGGATAAAGTTAGAAACTTTATCCATTATGGAGTTATTAAGAACCATAAAAATATAATATTGGTCATTAGTTTCCTTCCATGCATGGGTTATAATGTCATGATGGGTTAAGAAGTTATGGCTTTTAGTTTTGAGCACTTCCTAGTCATGCAATGTCATAAAGTTGGAAACTTTATGAATTAAGATGATATTTGGGGGCTAGATTTGCGTTTGGACAAGAAGACTTAATGGAATAAGCTTTTAAATGGAAGGATTTCATTCAGCTAGTGTACACCGGGTGTAATTAAGCGTACACAATGAGAGCCCCAATTTTACACATTGAGTACGCTACGCGTACTCAACTAAGTTGACTCGGTTGAATTTTTGACTGTTGGAATTTGAATAGGATTTGACAAAGTTTGACCTAAGGGTATTTTTGGTATTCAGAGTGGTAATTGAGATTGGTCATTATTTAATGAATATGTGATCAGTTGAGCTGACATTTGAAGTTGTGTCCTGTTTGAAGATCTTTTGAGACCGAGAGGTGAGTTTCCCTCAGTGTACTCGTGGGTTGAAGGCACTAATGTCGGCCCACTAGGTTATGTATGTTGGTATATAGGATGTTGCTATGTTTGTAGTAATATATTAGATCTTTATCTTGGTATTTAGTATTTTGTTATGCATTAGTCATTTGTAGGTCTTCCTATTTATCTGTTTACTGGCTATATGTTTATATGGTGTATACGTCAACATAGTGTAGTTGGGTTGAGACTATAGTGCTATGTGCTACCAGTCAACAAACCTGGTATGGTAAGATTGAGGCTAGGTACCAACATACATGGATTATTGGGTTAAGGTCATGTGGCAACAAACCCAGTGTGTTTGGGTTAAGACTGGAGGTTAACAAACCCGATATGGTAAGGTTGAGGCCACAAGCCAACAAACCTAGGTTATTGGGTTGAGGCCACGTGCCAGCAAACCCTTGATGGTTCATTTGAGGTCAACGACCAACAAACCCTGTATTTATGCTTGTTGTATATGTTATCTATTTGTGTCTGGTACTTTGGGTGAAATTACTAAGCTTCATGCTTACATTTGTTGTTATGGTTTCAGGTACTTCAGATGATCGGAAAAAACAAAGGCATGATTGTGCACATCCTTTGGATTTTTTGTTATTGGATTTTGGGATACTCTGATTTACAAACAATACTTTTGAAATAATGTTTTTGTAAACAACTATTAACTTGGCGTTGTTTTGGAAAAATGAAATTTTACTCTGATTTTTGGGATGTTACAAATGGTATCATACCTAATGACACCAAAGAGTGGAATAAAATATCTAGGAGAAGGTTCAATTTCACAAACCCTAAGAGGTTTAGAAATTGTCTCTATGGGGGGAGGAAGAAAGGTTGGCAAAACTTCAAACCAAGGTGAAAAGAAGAAGGAAATCCATAAGGCCCTATTTATAACATTGGATGCCTTCTTAGGTTTTGTACTCCTTCCCATTTGGGATAGGAGGCCAACAACGAAGTTTACACCTTATCCCATGTGGGATGGAGTGTTTCTTCGTCCAACCCTAATTGCATAAGGGTTCTAGAATATTCCTGATCAATCAACTATTGATTAATTGAATATTCAATCGTTTAATTAATTAAACTGTTAATTAATTGTCAAAATAGATTTTGAATTAGTTTCTACCATAATAATTAATAAACCAATTTCTCCCTTATTATTCTACTTAATTTGGATCTTGATAGCAATCCCAAAGGACCATGTTATTATTAGAAATAGTATCAATAGTTAATGACCTTGGACACTGTGACTTCCCCATTTTCATGACCAGAAAAGAACGATTTGTTTATGCTTTATTTTGAAAATCATAGTATCTTTTAAAGAAATATGTTGCAGAATTTGTTCCAAGAAAAACATGTACTACTAGAAAAACAACCTTTTACGACACGCAATTTATGATACGCATCGATTTAAAATACACAAAAGTGTGTGACCTAAAAATAGCGTCATCTCTCTAAAATTTTTAAGGATTTTGGACGCGCATTTTTGTGTGCCCCTAAATTAGTGTCTAAAAAAAACACGGAGGGCGCCTATGAAAAACTGTGTGTCGTCAGAAGATGTCGCTTTATAAATTTTAATGGAAACGCACGTTCTTAATAGCTGGGGGGGGGGGGGGGGGGGGTGATATCCAAAAACATTAAAAAGCCCGCCTCCCTTTTTCTTCCTTTCCCTCTTGCCCTAATTATCGACGTCGATCAAGGCACCGGCCGACAACCTTCACTCTCTCCTTCTGCTTTTCACTGCAAACCCTAATCCGCTTCCACCACTACTGAATATACCTCAAATTACCTCTGACCTCGGCTCATCTCTTTCAGATCACTTCTAATGAACCTATTTTGTGTTTAATTTGGTAGCAAATCGCTATTTTATACACCGGAAGCCTATATGAAAAAAATCGACCCCTACTCCTTTGACGTGTTCTACTTTCTTACTGTATCTAGGTTAAAATCAACCATTGCAGCAGAGCATCTTCATGGAACTTTGAAGCCTCCACTTCTTGGAACTTTGAAACCGCTTTGTAGAATAGAGTTTGAGCTTCTTCACTTGTTACGGTTTCTTCGAGAGCTTCAAAACCCAATTCCATTCCGACATTTACGACTCATCAACCATGCCATAATGAAGGAGATATCCTCGTCAATCGAAGCTACTAGTTCAGCGACCCCTAATCGACACCTCCACCTTCTCTTCTCTCCTCCTCCCCTAGATTTTCTCTCGTCTCTATCCACCACCATATGAAGATTTTCGAAGATGTGAAGGGGGGTAACCGAAGGAAACCCTAAATCCCTATCGCAGCTGACAACTACAACCCTAAATCTCTCCTCTTTAAACTAGAAGATCTTTTTGATGGATAGTGTTCATGATTGGGATGGATTCTTCCAATCGGCCACTACAACTACAAGTAGCTCGACAACCACGTGTCATCAATTTGTGGTTACAAGAAAAAGGTTTTTAGTTTGTTGTCGCTATCATGAATTCTGTTTTAGATTGAAATTTCTTCGTTTTTATAGTGATATTGTTGCTTCGAGTTCCAGATCTGAATCAGTTCACACTCATAAGGATTCATGGAGTACTCGAAGATTTAGTTGTTTCTGTTTGAATCTCTTTGTTTTTCTTTTCATTTTGTTGCTTTTATGTTTTAGATCTGAATCCATTCACATTCATTAGAAAAAGGTGTATTTATAGGTCTATCAGTTGCTTTTGTGTGATGAACATGTTGTATTGTTGCATTTCCTTTATTGGTTATAATGTTGATCTGAATCAGTTCACACTCTAGGTTTGATTACTTGTTAAGCTACACCACAGTTCATACTTGTCCTTTTTGTTGGTCATTTGCATAAGGGCTAAATGCATTATACTCTAAAAAATGAAAGTTTTATCTCCATAAAGAAAGAGCATTGAACTCAATTTCTATGATCGAATGAGTCAACACCCAAATTTGGTCAACAAATATAACCTCTAGTATTATACCCACAATTCTGCATCAATAGTTCTTCTTGATGATGGTCATTTAGTTTTGAGATATGATTCATGTTCAATTTCAATCACACCAGTTTGACAATGAAATTGAGAGTTATTTTACATATTATATGTATAATCCTTCACTTCCTACTAGATTCATCATAGATGTCTCAGGGTAGTTTCAGCAACAAGCATATGTAAAACCTATAGCAGAATGGACTTTGTTTTGGTCTTAACCTAGAGAAATATGTAAGAACTATGCTTTATGTGGTTCTTTCAGTAGTTACAGGCAGACTAAATTTCCATTAATCTGTAATTGTTTGACTGCTTTTGAGCTAAGATCAGAGACTGATTGGAAACTGAGTGAGAAAAACAGAGTTCATTTGTAGTTTCCTTCCATGTTTAATTATATATATATATATATATATATTATATATATATATATATATATATATATATATATATATATATATATATATATATATATATATATAAAGTTTCGTGTTCTAAAAAATTTGTATCTTGCTATTTTTGTTAAAGAAAGCAGGTTGTTATTGTCCAGGCTGACATTTTTTATAGCAGAGGTGTAATATTTTTTTATTTTAATGTTCTTTAAGATTTGTATTACCTGTATATGTTGAGGCTAAGTTTTCATCTTGCAAGCTGATGTTGGTGGTTCCCCTTCCTTGGTTGCCAGAGGTTTTAGTGCCCTTTCGTGTCTTAATATTTTTATATGTATGAATTTGTGACAGATAATACAATGGATCTCTAAACAGTCAAAGATGGTGATTCCAGAGGTGAGTTCATATTGATATTTTTCTAACAAATTTCTATGCTATATTTATATAAATCTTTGGTTATGGATGCATTTAAAATCTAAACTTACACATTTTGTTTAATATCTAATGGGATTTAATTGTTGAGGTGCTTGGGCCAAATCTATGTCATTTTTTTAGATACATGCGCTAAAACAGAGCAATTTCTACCAGGCATAAGTAATATATACATTATACAATATATGAAGTAATGTTGATTTATTTTTTCTTATCTTGTTATGTGTCAATTAATCATGGCATGCAGGCTCATGGACGATAAAGAAAGTACATTCGAGGAAATTATAGATGCGTATCTAGCATATTTGCAAGTAAGTATTATGCTTCAGAAGTTCATAGATACTAAATGATCCATGTCAGTTTGTTGTTTATCTATTTTTTTTTAGAATATTATGTCAATTCTTATCCCTATTTACAGGTTACATTTGTCAATCCTGCAATGGATAGAGCACTATCAATCTTGCAAAAGTTTTCTCTTGATGCCCAAAAGGGAAAAACTGTAAAAGATAAAATATGATTTGGTGCCCCTTGGAAGCACCCACCACGTAAGGATGACCCTTTCCTGCGTTCCGAATGGGCAAAGCTTCAACTAATGGATTTCATACAATCTTTAGTCAGTGCCGAATTTGGGGTATGTTTGTCTTTTTCTTGTTTTAAACTTTTAATTATTCTGGTTGTAAAGAATACATAATTATATCAAAAAATCAATATAACCAAAAAAACCATGGTACTCTTCAATCTTCATTGTTGTGGTTCATATTCACATTGGAAAATTGCAGGAAATAGCAACGTACTTTACTTCTTTTCCTAATATAGGCAATGTATTTTCTATTTACCTATAATATCAATGCACTTTCACTTTATTTTCCATTTTAGTAACATATTTACATTTTTTTACCTATAATAGACATATGTAACCCTAATAGCATCACATTTCACATTTTCTACACATAATAGCAGCATGTTTCCAAATTGTTATCCATAATAACAACATACTTACATTTTTTAAACAATAATAGCAATAGTATGTAAGAAATAAAGTACATTGCTCATATTAGTAAAAAATTTAAGTACATTGCTATTATGGGTAAAAAGTAAATTTCATTACCCATATTAGTAACGCCAATAAAGTATGTTACTATTACCTGCAATTTACCCTGTTTGCAACTTGTTAAAAGGATGCATGTTTCTATTTGCTTTATATAATTCAAGATTGTCTATATATTTTAATTCATTACACTAATCATTTCTAGATTAATTATTTTGTAGATTGTAGCCTTGAGATCTTTGATGACCCTTGTGTTAATGCAATGATTGAGGTTCTTTTCATTCCACCAATCTTCTTTAACAACTTGATCCCTAATATATGATATATTTACCCTTTTGAAAGTTAAAAAATGTCATTACTTTGGAAATTTCCCAAGTTGGTTTACTGTATGTGCAGCGATTTGAAAACCTAAAGAAATGGAAAGATCCTGGAACCTTCACTGAGCAAGTTATGAATAAATTGGATCATGATTTAGTAACAAATATAAATGAGAGAAAAAATAAAAAATTACAATTCTGTCCCACCCAAAAAGGTGAAAGAAAGGGATAGCGATTCAGTGACGTGAATACCCTCCCCAGTTGGTGAAGAATTGATAGTTGATGTTGTTATATACAAAACATATATTGATGACCGGATCTTAAAACAACAACAAGAGGAGGAAAAAAAGCGTCAAAGGCGAGAAAGGAAAAAAGAAAAGAAGGTAAAGATGCAAAAGTAAACCCTAGGTATATTAATCATTTTTCTTTTATGTAATTGAGAAAAAAGGTTATAACTAAGAAATCTGTTAAATTATATAGTATATTCTTTTAACAGATTTTTCCCACAAATGGCTACTCAAGATGGATCATGTACATTACTCATCTAGGGCAAGTTCCATATTTGTCATTCCGATTCAATAAACTTTTCAAAGCATAAGGATACCAAGTTTCTGCTATAGGTAATCTCCACTAAAAACCTGCTTTTAAGCTTTATATTTGTAAATATTTACAAAATTACCACTTATGAGACCCATTTAAAGAAATTACCAAATTGACTTAAAATGTTGGGAGATAGATTTATAAGAAGAGCCTTTGTCATTAAATGTTTACTGGATTGCTTAATTTGGCAGATGATGGATTTTTTTCAAAAAAATCTAGGCCTGGGACTCTGTTTGTTTGTGTGTTATCTGTTTGTTTCTTTGTGTGTTATCATTTTTTTCTATTGCGAGATTTTTACTTTTTTGTGTGTGTTATCTGTTTGTTTCTTTGGAATACTGAGGCTTCTTATAACATATGCGTATCCACCATGTAATTTATTTGCTACATTATCATATGGAATTGCATCAATGGCCATGGTTTTCATAAACAAAGCATTTGTCATGTATGCATTTTCCATGACTCTCCTTACCTTATAAGTAACATGAAATTCATTTACCAGTAAACTATTATGTGCCAAATATAGAAACACACTTGTACTTTCATCATTACATCAATTTAACCAATAAACTATTATTATAAGTTGTTGTTTAACTTTATTTTGGAAATGTTTCAGTAAATGGAAACTGCATTATTACTTATACACTTTGGAAGAATAATGCGATGGACAAGAGCCAAACCACTAAATGTTGACACTACAAAAAAGCTTATACTAGTTTCACTATTTTACATTGGAAATGTGGCTTTTTATAGGTTAGATAGTTAGGGATTGTATTTTATGCAATGGATTGTATTTTTTGTATATGATAATTTGTATGACATTAAATTTTATGCAATGGATTGTATTTTTTCTATATGATATTTTATTTTCTATTATGATACATTAAATACAAATTTAATTTGAAAATTAGTAAATCTATAAATAATATTTTTTTAAACATTTAAAATTATGATACGCAAAAATGTGTGACATCTTCATTTATGACATGGCCTTTCTTGACAAGGGCTTTCTGGATACGAATTGTGTGTCATTAACATGCGCGTCGTAAGGTTACGACACGCGAATGCATGTCGTCTTCCTTTATGACAGTGCCTTTCTTGATACGCATTGCATGCCGCAAACGCGCGTCGTAATTGCACGTCGTAAATGAGCGTCGTAAATGTGCATTGTGTCTCTATATGATAGGGCCTTCCTTGACGTGCATTTGCACGTCGTCTGAGCCCTTTACGATGCGCAATTAGCGTCGTAAAAGGCTGTTTTTCTAGTAGCGATGATAAATACGTTATCAAAGCATTTTTGAAGAAATGTATTTTTATTCATTTTCAAAACATTGGGATGTCATCGTCAATAAAGAAACATAAGCATAAACAGAACTTACATTCATTTACACTGGTGATCTACATCACTTTTAAATCTCTTAGTGTAATGTAGCTAGATATCGACACCTGTGATACAAATAAACTTGAGTGGGTCAGGTTGGG